CATGAATTAATAGAGGGCAAAAATGTCACAAAAAAATCAGTAAAATTCAAATAATGTACTTAGATACAAATAAGTATCAAAATTAAAAATTTAATTATCCAACATTTTTTTTATGTATTTTTTTACAATTAAGTCTAATTGGGTACTTTTTTAATATGTACCGGCCTTCCTTTTACCTCGGTGGTTGTGGACCTAGCATTTCAACCACGGGCTGTGGGCCAAAGGTCTTAAGGGCTGGTAGGGAGAGAGAGAAAAGAGAGGTTGTAATTAATGTACTATGAACTTCTTAAAATGTATCCATAGAAAGAGAATAAGAACAAGAGAGGTATAAAACTCGGATTAGGATCTCCCAACACTTTTTTTTTTCCATTGTTTTTCTTAATAGATCATTCATGTATTGGATTTAATTATATATAATAGGTCCCATTTAAATTCTTTGCTAATGATCTATCACAAAATAAAAGAGGAAAATAAATTATTGGGTATTACATGTGTAAGAATTTTATATCGGATAAAAAAATAGGTTAAAGTGTCTTAATATACTGTTGATTAGCTAATCATCTATAGACTTAAGTTTTTAGTCGAGTATGGCTTCTAGACATATATATTGGGTCTTAGATCATTGAATTCTCTAATCTCCCTACAAATGGTATCAAAATCGATAGTTGACTATTCAATCCCAGTACTAATGATATCTCTTAAGAAAACTAATGACTAATAAGTAATGCAATGACTCATAAAGATCGGTTAATGTTTGGTTCTTGGAAGACTTAAGTTTTTAAGTGGGTATAGATTTCAGACATGTATAAATTTGTATCATTGGATTTCCTAATCTTCCAATAAAAAAATATTGAATGAGTTTTCTCTATAAAACTCCAAGAAGTCCCCTGTAAAAAGGGGTATAATGGATGAAATTGCAAGAACAGTTGAGCCCATTGGCGAGCCCATCTAGTAGGGGTCGGCTGGACCACCAGGGCATTTGCTGCTTTAAAGGTAAGATTGGAGTAGCCCACACAAAAGACATGGCACATATCCTTCTGTTGGGTTAGCCAGCTGAATTTATTTAGATTATTGGGCTATCAATGAGTCATCATATAGCGGGCTGAATGGCCCAGACCAATGGCCATTTCCGACCATTGCGCATGAATCCATCGGGGGGGGTCCTCTATTGTTAAATTTTTAACATTAGAGGTGGTGTTGATTAAAATAGTTAAATTGACGTCATTTTGCTAATAATAAGAGGTGTTGTTTGAATGTTGTTGTTTTAGATCAAAACTACTTCGCTTTGATCAATTACACTTATGCTGTTAAAAATTAACATGAGAAGAGTTAGACTCCTCTTGAAAATTTGTTGGGACGATTTTATCAATTTCAAAGAACATTTGTTATGAGTAATTCAAATGAAACTCTCAAATGTGTCATTTATCAATATAACATCGGGAAAAAAGGGGGGACTATACTACTAGAATAGGTTTCGCAATCTTAATAAAGCCTATGATGCGTTAAAACTTCGCTTTTATAATCTATATTATTTTGATCCATTCTATTCCATTAGTTTGACTCCATGACTATTAGGTGAGGTTGACCATGGTTGATGCAACACAAGAATGATCACCATTAAACTAAGTAAAAGCTGCAATACACAAACCCTATAGTGTTGGTTGGGGGTGAGGGGTTGGTTTGGTGAGGATTATAACTTCAAATCATAGTGCAAAGTATGCAAATGGTAAATTGTCAAGCATCAGAAGAGTAGGTAGTAATTGGGAGAAAATGATAGTTAGGTTAGGTAGGTGAGGATCATGTGCTGCATATGATAAGAGATTGAAATACTTACCTCTTATCTTGAAAAGAGCAACAGATAGTACTGTAGGTGTGACCGGCCTCCGCTCCAATATAAAAGAGCAATCGAGGGTAAATCATACGCACTAAATGATTAACGTATAAGAAAATACCCAAATAAATTCGTGTAAAAATGGAGACGGGGATAAATTGAAACTCATCCCGGTCCAGCCTCCGCTCCGATATATATATATATAACCCTCTCACTCACTTATTAATCTATATAATAAAATAAAAGTGTGTTTGAATTTTATTCCAGTCATATTTTCCTCCTTAAAACCATCATCAATCACTTATCTCACTCATCATACTCAAATGTCAAATCACATCATTCATTTTTATCACATATTTAATCATTTATATATATCATTTCTAAAAATATCACACCACTCATTTCTATTATATATTTAATATTTAATTAATTTTTAGTTAATATATTTTAAAAAAATTTAATATAGTGGAATCGATTTTTTGGACGCTCAAATTTTATATTTTATCGTGCATTCAGGTACGGGTTATGACTAGTACATATCTATATAATAAAACAAAAATGTGTTTAAATTTTATCTCAGTCATATTTTTCCCCTTAAAATCATCATCAATCACTTACCTCACACCATCATCCCTCTGTCAGACTCAAACGTCAAGTTGTATCATATCACTTATTTTTATCATATGTTTAATAAATTTAATATTTAATTAATTTGTAGTTAATAGAATTTTTATTTTAAATATTATTCATATACAATAGTATACACATGTTGAAAAAATTTAATATAGTGAGATTGATTTTTTGGGTATTTGAATTATATATTTTATCGTGCCTTCAGGCACGAGTTATGACTAGTATATAATATCACAAAAGCCACCCACCCATACACTCTACTCTTTACAAAAAAAAAAAACACTTTACTTTCTTTCTCTTTTTTTTTTATCCAACTGTTATGTAATGGTTTCTTCTATTAGTGAGGTTTTATGATTTTTTTATTAAATTCATAGAAATTATTATGGACAGAAACAGTAGTGGAGACAGGAATAGGGATAAAATTTTACTCGCGGGATAAGGACGGAGATTAAAATTTTCCCCGCTAACAAGAGGACCCGAGGGTGTACTTTTTTGAAGAGAATACGAGAATAAAAACTATTGTCTATAAACTGAGATATCATCTATTATATTTTTTGTAAATCTCTTCGGACCATCTACATAAATTTTACTTATATATACTATTTATAATTGAAGTCTGGTCTATACACACCAGTGATCTACTATTAAATAATATTATAACCCGAAAATATTTTACAATCTTATTAAAACTTTAATTAGTCTTATCTTCAAAACCGCTAACTTATATATTCTCCTTGTTGCTTTTTTTTCCCTTTTTTTTATGTAACAAAAATATATATACATAATTATAATTACACACACAAATGCACGCACTGCACACACACAATTACACACAGACATATGCACTACACACATACATACTTACACACACACACACACATACTGTTAATGAAATCTAATTTACTTTTTCAATATTATTTGATTATTTATTAATTATTATTTTTTTTAATCAGATATTATTGTTCACTTATTATGTTATTCAATTTATTATTATTTATTTATTGTGTTATTCAGATGTTATTTATTTATTTATTTTGATCAAATATTTGTTAAATGTAGACTATAATATAATAATAGTGATTATGATTTATTTTATGACATATTTTATAAATATTTTCAAATTAAAGAATAAAATAATAATATTGGAACTTAATTTATATACGGCAGCTCTATTTAGTTATCAAACAGTTTAATTTAGTTTAGTACTTAAATTTTAGTAAATATCAAACAGTCCACAAATTCAGCATTCGACTTTTAACTTTTAATTTTTAATTTTATCAAACAACGCTTGAGTAAAGTACTTTTCAGGACTTCTCTTCTCTTCTCTTCTTGCCTCTCACCAACTTTCCGAGCATAGTCTCTAGTAGGGAGGGTCATTCTCGAATATTAATTAGACATAATTCATGTCTGGGTAACTCCTTATCAATAGCCAATATTTGTGGAACTAGCCATTTGAAGCTTGAATAGAGGGAGAGACAAACTACTCTTTAATGGCGGTGTTCTCTGTCAACAAAAATATTCTTTTTGGTAGAGCCCCACTCTTTTTTTTTTTCCCTCTAAAGTCCTTCGCTCTACCCATTTTAGCATTTCTAATTAAACCTAATTGAACTAACTTTTGCTAATCTAATCCACAAATTATTAAATTGATAGAGTTTTAATAAATTATGAAATTCACTACCAATTCAATAACTATAATTTATTAAATCAATGAATTAATGTAATAAATTAATTTTAAATAATATTGTTCTTCTTTTACGAATGAAAATATATCAAAATACATCTCGAGTTCAAATCTCACCACTTTTTGAAGGGAGAGATTAGGATCCACCTCCCTAATAAATATCGAGTAATGTTATTTAAACAAAAAATATTAATAACATATATTGACTTTTAATGTCACTGTTATTGATTTAACTCTGAGTGCTAATATATATTAGAATCTACTATTTATTTAATAATTTTGATGGAAATAGTGAAGAAAAAAAAATTTAAAATTTTTTGTCTGAATAATTTTAACTATTAAATAAGTATTGAGTTCTAATAAATGTTGAGACTCATAATAAAATTAATTATTATAATTATTAAGTCTAATTTTTAATATATTTTTTAAATTCATATATCATTTTCCTAGTGATAAATAAAAGATTATGAGTCCTGGTCCAGGATCGATAATGGGGGCCTGATCAAGCCCGTCACAAGTCATGACCCTCATTTTGCTTTATCAACTTGTCACGCAACTCAAGGCCCTCGTGAGTTCGTGTCCATTTCATACTGACATGGCTTGTCCAACTTGCTCAACCACTTTTTAGTAATTTGTGCTTAAATATTAACTTAATTTATTAATAATAAATTATATATTTTAAAAGTAAATTTATAATCAATTGACATCCTTATAATTATTTATAAATAATCTCATTAATTCTATATCTTTAAAAAATAAAGTTTAACTTTTAAAAATTATAAATAAATTCTAAATTTAACTTACATTTTAAAAAAATTATAATTTTCTAAAGTGTCGACACTCTTTGGATGAAAGATGACCGCCTCGAGAACATACGGTTATCTCTATCGCGGTATCGTCATTGTCACACCAAACAGTAATGTGCTAACATGTCACTAATCTAAATTAACGGCTATCCACGGTAACTGTCGTCATGCTTTGTAAGATCAGGAAATCTGACGGCTAATATTGAGGGTAGCCAGATATTACCATACACCCGTAATAACCATCGCCCTATCAACTTACCGGTCTCCCCGGTCACCCGCTCCCCACACTTCATATCTTAAATCCCAGCAGTCTCCAAGTTTCAACTCCCACTACAGTACTCTCTCTCTCAGAATCTCTCTCTCTCTAAAGACAATCATATGGGTATTGATCACTCTCTTTTTCTCTCTTTAATTTATTTTTAATTTTTGATTTTTTGTTTGTGAATTTCTTTTGACCCGTGGATTTTTTCCCTTGATCATCTGATTTCATTTTTTTTTTTTCTGGTTTTTGGCAGGGAAAGTGAAGATTGGAATCAACGGTATTCGATCTAACATCTTATTCATGTTTCCTCAATGATTTGCATTTAATAGCAGATTTGATATGCTTGATCTGGTGTTGATTACCTAATTACGTATTGAAATGAAGGTTTTGGGAGGATTGGTCGATTGGTGGCCAGAGTTGCTCTTCAGAGAGATGATGTTGAGCTCGTTGCCGTTAACGATCCCTTCATCTCCGTTGATTACATGGTATTGATATGTATTTAAGTGTCATAATTACATTTGATTATCGTGTTTAATCTCCATAATTAAGTTCTGGTTGTTAAAATTCCTGGTTGTAGTTGTAGAAACATGAATCAAATTGGTTGTAATAGTTTTTTTTTTTTTGGACATCATACTCAGTGGATCTATGTTGTTCGGAGTGTTTTTTTATGCGTTTTGTGCGAATTATTTTGTTGCAGACATACATGTTCAAGTATGATAGTGTTCATGGTCAGTGGAAGCACCACGAGCTCAAGGTTAAGGACGAGAAGACCCTTCTCTTCGGTGAGAAGCCCGTCACTGTTTTCGGCGTTAGGTACGACCACCCAGCTTTCTGCTTATTTACTTAGACGCGCACTTATATTCATCAGTGGAGTCTACTTATTTATTTAGATATATCTGATATGGGCAATCTTTGACGTCGTTCTGTTGCTGATTCTAGGAACCCAGAGGAAATCCCATGGGCCAACACCGGAGCTGAGTACATCGTGGAATCAACTGGAGTGTTCACTGACAAAGACAAAGCTGCCGCTCATTTGAAGGTTTATCTTTATGTGACATATCACTTGTGCTAAAGTTTGATGTAGATTTGTTGGATTGTGTACTTGTTGTGTCTCCCACTGTTTAGATGATGTTCTATGTGATGTGTTTTGCTGGATTATGTAATTGTTTTGCAAATATATGCTCTATTTGGATGGCTATTCTGTAATACTTGATCTGCATTCGTGAATTAGGAATGTGTTAGTGTTTTTACATTTAAAGTAAAGTGAATGAACAAACTCATAAGCCAAGTCAAAGTATTGGTTAACCTCTTTGGCACAGATTGTTTTAGTTCTTTTCTTTCTGTTATATTGTATGTTTATATATTGAGTTATAGAATAAGGCCTGCTTCCTATCATCATTCATCTTTTTGTGTTTTTTGCTTAATGTGAGTGGGTGCTTATTTATTCATCTTACTGAAGTTTTAGATATGATTGAAAGTATGGGATTAGTATGCAATTAGAAGCAAATTATTTGTTATCTCTGGTGTTTCTTGTGGGTTTGGATTAGAAATGCCCCATGTTAGACCAATTTGCAAAAAACTTTGAGGATAGTGTGGTTATGTCTTCTTCTTGTATAGACTTTTGAAGCTTGAATATTGGTGTTGTTAGTTGCCATAAATTGAATTGGTTTTTTGTCTGAATTATAAGGGTGGAGCTAAAAAGGTCATTATCTCTGCTCCTAGCAAGGATGCTCCCATGTTCGTTGTGGGGGTCAATGAGAAAGAATACAAGCCGGAGCTTAACATTGTCTCCAATGCTAGCTGCACTACCAACTGCCTTGCTCCCCTTGCAAAGGTTTTTCTTAGTCTCTTTTTTATGGTCTCTATGAAATGCATTCAATTAGAACCATACAACAAAATTTGAAGTGTCCTTTACACAATTATGCAGGTTATCAATGACAGATTTGGCATTGTTGAGGGTCTTATGACCACTGTCCACTCCATCACTGGTAGGTTTTGTTAGTTGTTTATTTGTTTGGCCTTTCTAAGAGATTCTTTGTATTGATATTGCTCCATTTTGTTTCAGCCACACAGAAGACAGTTGATGGACCATCTTCCAAGGACTGGAGGGGTGGTAGAGCTGCTTCTTTTAACATTATCCCTAGTAGCACTGGAGCTGCAAAGGTACTTGTAAATCCCTGAGGTTGCATTAAGTAATCAAATGATCTATGACAGGCTTGTTTGTGAGATGATCTGTAGGCATGACTTAGCTTTTTTCAGACTGAGCTGTGGTATCAGATAAACATTGCGATTGTTCATGTATTTTATTTTACTCTGTTGGGCATTTGTCTGTAATGGCTGGCTCTAATTCTTGCCCTTTTTTCCTTCTTGAAAAAAATTAATTTTGGAAGGCGGTTGGGAAAGTGCTACCAGCGCTGAATGGGAAATTGACTGGAATGGCCTTCCGTGTTCCCACCGTTGACGTTTCTGTGGTTGATCTAACTGTGAGGCTGGAGAAGGGGGCTAGTTATGATGAAATCAAAGCTGCTATCAAGTAAGGACGTTGGTTTCGTTTATTTTTCCAGTTGAAAGTAAATCTATAGACTTGTTGCAGAAATACAAACTCTTGTTAATTTTATATATTTTGGTGGACTTATTAACTATTAGGCATGGGATGGATGCTCAAGGTCCTGCTGATTATTTATTGCACTGTGTTTAGTTTGATCTTATTATTTCGGTGATGGTCATCAGGGAAGAGTCTGAGGGAAAACTAAAGGGAATCTTAGGTTACACTGAAGATGACGTAGTGTCCACTGACTTTATAGGTGACAACAGGTGAGAATGGATATTTCAATTACATGCTTTGTGTTTTGATTCTCCTCTCATTACTTGTTCAACTTTGTCCATGAACCACACATTTAGGCATGCTAATAGTTGATGGATTCCTGCTTGCGAAATTTACTGCTGATATACTTTTTGATCATAGTCTTGGCTTAATTTTTCAATCCTTATGACTTGGGCGAAGAAATGTCTTTTTCAACTTATGCAATTTCATTTTCTTTGACAAGTACATGATCCATGTTTTGCTGACTTATTAGGTCCAGCATCTTTGATGCTAAGGCTGGAATTGCTTTGAATAAGAATTTCGTGAAGCTCGTTGCGTGGTATGATAACGAATGGGGTTACAGGTAATCTTGATGCTGCTTTTCCTTCTTTGCATCTCCTGTGGCTATTTGAAGTCCAGCCTGATTTTATTTATGTTGCAAATCTTATTGAGCTCATACTGCCTCTAAATTAGGACATTCTACGTGTAAATACAATGTCGTGCAGCTAATGACCTTATTCTTTATGTGCTGCAGCTCACGGGTGATTGACTTGGTTGTCCATATGTCATCGGTTCAGTAAGACAGACTCAAGGTTTGGCTGTTGCAATCATCGTTTTTCGCTTTGGCTTGACAAGGGTCATAGTAAGGTATTATGTCATCATTATGCGAGGAAATGTGTTGGAATAAAATGAATTTTGTAACTTGAATTTCTAGTCTACTACTTGTGTGATTCAACTGTCTGTATCTTAAAATGTTTTATAAGACATAAGGGGGATTTAGATCTCCGCAAGTTTTTCCAACGATGTTGAGTATGGATTTCCGGGGATGTTCTCATGTTTTCGTCTGGTATCAATGTAACAATGGTAGACTATTCTCCCATCTCTCTCCCGCCCCCCTTACCAGCGTTGATTGTTTATATGCTTTAAGGTCAAGTACTTCATACAGCTGTCTATTTTGAATGAAGATTTGAATAATGGGTTTTGGACCTTGAGGATGCCGAAAGGACAAGGACAATCCAGGTATGCATTGGAATATGGTCCCAACATTGCTTCTGGCACTTGACTAGTGAGACAGTGACATTTGCGATACCTTAAGAATTTTCAAATATGATTTAGATAATAGATAGTACCATTTCTTTTCAAATATTCAATTTGTGTTGCTTTGGCTTTTTATTGTTTTGGGTTAGATAATAGTCCTTTTTGAGTTCCGAGTCTGTGGCCTATTGGTGCAGTCGAACACCGACTGTAAATGGATTAACGATGGTGATTATTTGTGTCTCAAATGATAACACTTAAAGGGTAACATTTAGAAATTTGAGAAATTAAAGTCACAAATTGTAAATTTAAGGTCATAAATTGCAAATGTGAGAGACCAGAGTAAGAGTTTATCAATTTTCTCTCGTTACACTTTATCCTGAAGAATCAATCTGAATTATTATTTTTTGATTTCATCAAAACAATGCAATTTAAAAACTTGAGGAACTAAAACGATATAATTGAAATAATTAGGATCAAAATGAAATAAAAATATATATTTAGGAATGGTTAAGAGTATTTTTCTCCTAAAATGATAAAGGAAACGCATGCAAAGCATGTTTACTGTCCTATAAATTATTTTAAAGGATTTTAGATTTTTGTTTAGTGAAAATTAGAAGCAAGTACACTTTTTCAATCTGTTTTGACAATAAGGACAAGCACATAGCTTTTTAAGTCATTTTAAGTTTAAATTAATTATAATTTTTGTTAATGACAAAATTATTCTTTTAAATGAGATTAGGTCTTTATGTAAGCTCTCGCCGGCGAGTGAATGGATTCACGCAATAGTAGACTTACTCATTTCGCTTTTCACGTTGCTGATTGTGATACTAGGAGTGGAGTTATTGTATTGGTGTGCCAGAAGATCAATCCGGAAGTATGCAGAATAAATGAAGTTCCAGCCGGAAAAGGCAATTGGAAGGTGACCAGTACTATTACTAGTAGCACCTGATAGCATTTGGGGTTGAACAAAGTGGTATCTTAATTATGAAAGCTACCATTTGATGAAGAACCCAAAATACTCTAGAGCATATGGGATTAAACAGAAAGAGACTAACACGAATAATCTGTCAATTGGGTTTGATAACAATGATTAACTAGTTTTTTTAGCAAGTGTTCTGGAATTCAAAAATTTTAAGTTGTAATTTTTCATCTACATGTTTAGTTGATAGTGATTTTATTTGTCACTCTAAACTTCTTTTTTAAATTTTATGTTTTAGTTTATTTTCTGTTTTGATGACATTCTTCTGGCAGTCCTATATTTTTTATGGGATTTGATTTATTACATTAATAATTTCATATTTTAAGGGATTGAATATATGTGAAATTCAAAATTATATATCACATGAAATATACCTTAACAACTTGGGTCCAGAATTTGAAATTCATTTTTTTATATTGAACGGCTCTGGTTGTCCTCAAATTTAACAATAGTGTCACTTTGTAATGTTCCACTATGATGTAACACTGTTATTCATTAAAAGTAATATATATATATACAGATCTCACATTATGTGATGCATACTATTTAGATTTTGTATGAATCAGTGAATGCAATTTCACAATTTTTTTGTCAGTGATTAAAGTGTTACACTATTATATATCATTTTAATGTTATATTATCGAAAATTTGAATCAAAACAAAAGAAAGATTGGTCTTCAATGACACTTCAACTTTTTTTTTTTTGTTGAAAATTGAAGGATTTTGCAGTGTATTTTTTTTTTATAAATTTGAAAACTCATGTTTTTAGAGATATATTAGTTGTCAAATTTAATGGGATTATTGCATGATTTGTGACAGTTTTCTTATCCACTATTTGTGCCATATAATTGCTTTGTGGGCATTTCTATCATTAAAAAAAAAATTATTATACTAAACATTTTGTATTAAATATTTTTTTACAATTAAGTGATAAATTAAGTATCAACGGACAAAAAACACAATTTTTTATTCATTAGAAATAAAAAATATTTGGGCTACCCTTTACCCTGCTGTACCCATTGTATAGAATCGAGTCCAATATTCATTTGGTTGGGTGGTAAGGAAGGTAGTGGGGCTATTTCATGTCCCATCTACCTATATATATTGCAACCACCTCCATCAATTCCATCTAGTAAATTAACTTCTTACTATCTGTCTACGTTGGTTGGCCATTAAAGTCCTGTACGATTTGCAAATGCCATACAAAATGAATATGAAATTAATAAATTTGAATTTAGTCTTTCGGGTGGTAAAATGATGAATTTATTTAAATTTGTTAAATAATAATTCCTCTTTAAAGCAAAGTAGGATTTTCTGATGCAAGATGTGTAGCCATACTAATTGGAACATCGATTAGGAAAATTTTTAGAAATCACAAAAAAAAATTTGGATTTTAAACCAATTTTTAAAGTATTTTCCTATTTTTGTTGCTAATATAGATTACTTTTGATAATATCATGAAATAATCCCAAGTCTAAGCTCGGGAGTTTGAGGTCAAGAAGAGAGCTCAACTCGTGGAATTTAAGTTCAGACGTCCAAACCTATATTTCCTTCTACCTGCTTCTTAAAAAGTAGATAAGTGGAAGATAGTTGGCATACACAAGCATCCTCAATAGTAAGCTCCAATTTAGGTGCAAATTCCTCAAACCACCAAAATCGTCGTCTAAAATCAAGTAAGACACCATGGAAGAAAGGCAGAGATCTCGCCACAGATCACATAGAGTTAGGAATTAGACTATAAATATTATACAATGCCTATAGTACGGGACAAGTAATCTTAGTTGTATCAAAAATACTCTGTAAACCACACAGGCCATGAATAAAGATTCAAGGAGTAAGAAATTACATTGAAGGGTGGATTAGTCTAGTTTTCGAACTGGTGAACTATCATATTTTCATTGTACAAATACACCCCAAAGAATCTTATCATAGTCCCCACGAATTTAAAAGCTCATACTAAATCTTACTCAGATATATCACATTCTGCTCACTCACGCTTCATACACCATCAAGTTTTATAATTTTTCGAAATGCCAAATTTGGTTTTTCTAAGTAATTTTAGATCGTCAGAGATTTTAATTCATAATGTTCTTTAAAACAGTTCATCAGCTTTTTTATTATTTTGAAATAATTCTCAAAATATTGTTTTTATTTCATTTAAAATGTATTGACATTCTGGCACAACATTATCAAAGAACTTTAGTTCAATATATTATACATTATAGCTAGCATGTCACAAGTTTTGTGTTGATATGATTTTCAATCAATCGTACCTTTTGATTATTTTTGTGAAGGATTAAATAGCAATTTTCTTTTCAAGGTAATTAAATAGATATTTAATCCAATATAAATTTGAATTTGTCTCTTATTTTGCCAAACATATATAGTTTTTTTTTAAAAAATGTTTTTAAGTGAGAAACAAAATTCAGGGTTACACGTAGAAAGAAGAAAGGTTACTTCTTTTGACTAGTCCCAAAAATCATGCCTAACACCTTAGACTATACCAAAAATCACACCCAACACCTTAGTGAGAAGTGAGTGGTAATTGGAAGAACGGATAGTTTCGGTAGTAATAAAGATAAATTATAAATTTAAATATATTGAGTTTAAATTTTAATAATTTTTTTATATTAAATTATAAAATATTTATTTCTCATAAATAGTTTAATTTGAACACACGTAAACGAGTTGGAAATCATTTAGCCTTGAAAGTTGAAACAATAAAAAAAAGTCAATGGTAATTGCGCAATTTTTAAATTAAACCGGGACTAATACGTCCGGCCAGCCCCTCCGATTTCAAAATTCCTCAAATTTCGATTCCTCCGCCAAATCGTCACCTTCACAATATCTGTGTCTCTCTCTCTCTCCGTCCCTATTTCACTCTCAGCTCTTCCCCGCGATCTTAAGCTCTCTCTATCTCTCTTGGTTTATATATATCACTCTTTTGTATGCTTATAGCTGTATTTTGATGGCGACGTCGGCGTTTAAATCGACGACGAAGAGAATTCCGGTCGCTTCAACCTCAAACTCCGGCGATTCTGCTTCATCTAACAAAACTCATCGCCGGTCGCGGAGTCTGAGTCGATTCACACGGCCGTTACTAGAGCCATCGGCTGACTTCGGGGACAGTCCGGTGCCGAGCGGCAGGTTCGTAAATAAGGTGAGGGGGTCGGTGTTTCCCGAAATTAGTCTCGACGATCTGGCAATCGAATTTTTTCCTATGAAGGACTCTTTCGTGGGTGATGACAGAGACAGTAGTGAGAGAGGCAGCTCGGATCGGCGGAGTTCGGAGATTGGTCGCTGGGCCAGTGATACGGCGTCGTCTAGGAGACGAGGGAGGTCGGTGTCAAGACAGGGTTCGAGAGCTGTTGATAATAAGAGCAGTGGCACTGTCTGCAATGGTTCTGGTGGTGGTGATAGGAAGGTGGGTTCGGAGGCTAATTCGAGGAGGAGGAGGTCGGTTTCGGTGGTTCGGTGTCGAATTAGCGATTCCGAGGTAAGAATGTATTTCTTTTCTTTAGGTTTGCACTCGAATTTGAATTGTTTGTTTAAGAGAAAATTGTAGTTTTTGTTTCTTAGCTATAGGGGACGGTTAATTGAAGCGAAATAAACTTTGAAATAGTGCGTAACATGCAAAATTCTTTCTTGAAGTACCGCCAGGATTACCAAATGATATTTGGTGAAGCTAGGAGTTGAAAAGAGGCTCTCCGTGCATTTTGAATGGCCACTCGCTCTACTGCATGATATGTCTATTTTACCAATTACGACGGCAAAGAGAAACAAATTGAAAAAATGAAACGACTTTATTGGAGCAATCTCTCCTCCACCAGATCTATTTTTTGGCTATGAAGATTGTGCGTGCTGGATCTTGTACAATATAAACACGAGAACAAATTTCTCTCTTGGTAAACTCGAGTGAGTTAGTCGAGTGGTCAACCCTACTGCTTGGAACAGCCTGTGAGATCCGGTGGTAGCCTGGAACGATAATGGGAGACCCTTGTGGATCAACGAAATGATCCAGTAAGGTTGAGGAACGTTCCTAGAACAAAGAAAGACAAGTTAGAAGGGCACCGAAGTGTTTTTCGGCGTATCCCCTCTGACGATCAATTCAGTTTTTGAGAGAGAGGAAGAAGAAAACACTGAGTATAAGTTTGAGAAAAGGTTTTCACCTTCTTTTTCCCTATCTTGCCTTTTGTGAGGAGTATTTATACTTCAAAAACTCATGATTGATGTCAGTGTGGTCAGTAGGTGATCATTAGATACGGGCAACGTGCGCACTGATTCCTATGAGGAATATCTTCTCTTTTAACTGTTCGGGATCCCGAGCAACCAAGGCTGTGTCACCGACCTGCCGACTGTTTAATGAGCTCCTCTCGGCAAGGATGTAATAAATGCCCAACCTTAGGGATATTTATTACCTTTCACTTCCGAGCCTTACCGCATTAAATGCTGTCTCATCAAGGGAATGGTGTAATTAAATGCTTGCTTTCCCAAGTCGTGTGTCAGCAAGGGCATCCGGTCTTTTTGTTTCTGATGTGACACAATATGCCACGCGTCCATTCCCCATTGGCTGTGTCCCCGGCCTTCTTGTGCCTTCTGACACCAATTGTGTAAGACGAGGTCATGATGGCTAACCTAGCCTAGTCTAGGCTAATGACCTGTACATTAATAGCCTCTGCAGGAGCAGAGAACGCCATCTTGGACGGGTACATCTCGGTACCGAGGGGGGAGTGGTACATGTAGGGACCGATATACCCTATACGACCCCGAGGGATACGTGTCGGTATGTAACGTACTGGGTGTCATTGATCCCTATGAACAGTACCTCGGGGAACAGGGACTTGTGATCCGACAGGTACGTGTCGTGTTTATAGGAAAAGAATTTACTGATGCCGAGAACACGTGTCTTCATCTTTGAGTACTTGGAAATGTCCCATCAACTCCCCCCCAGCCTTCGATCTCCTGACACCGAGGACACGCGTTGTAAAGAGACGAAGGGTTCTGCAACTACCCCAACTATTTCATCATTGCCTTCAGTCGCTTTCCCCTGCTTCGGAGGTCGTGCACATTAAATGCGCCTCTTCGTGCTTCGTGCCCAAATGATGGGGATGAGTACTATATATAAACGGGCTTTCCTCTCTCCCTCTCTTACTTTGCCATTTTGGATTTCTTCAGAGAGCCATTGTCTGAAACCTCGCCGGAGATCCCTTTCCTTTCGTCGTCTACTGTCCAATCTTTTACCAGAGTCTTAAGGCCAGCAGATCCATCCTTGCTTCTGAACATTTTGGAGGAAGGAGTCACTTCAAGTTTCAAGAAAAAACTTCATTTTACGTTCTGGTGAGTCCTTGTATCTTCCCTTTCTTCGCCCTTCGTCTCTTCTCTTCTTCTCATTTTTTTTTTGTTCCTTTTGGTTTTTCGATAACTGGAGGCGTTTCTGGTTGCCACTCAGTGACCAATCTTTGGGAAGCCTCCTTGGAGATCTTCGTGAAAAAACCCCCTTCTTCTTTACTTTTTATCACTTTTTGGAGACGCCCCGTCGTCGCCCTGCCCCCGAGGATCCTCAAGCTAGTTCTTCGAGGCCAGGGAAGTATAAAGTGAAAGGGGGCGAGCAAATTAATAGGTTTAGGGTTAAGTACAACATCCCTTTATATGTAGACATAGAGGATTATGATCCGGCTTTGCATTCTCGAGCTCACAGGGCCGAGGATGAGATGCCTTTTTATACCAAAGCCGTCATAGAGGGCGGACTTAGGTTCCCTCTGCCCCCTCTTCTCTTTCAGTTCCTCTTTCATTTCCATCTTTTCCCCGGGCAGTGTTGCCTTAATGTCTTTAGGATAATTATGGGGGTTTTAGAGCTCAACAAGCGTCTCGGGGTAAATATTGGGCTGAATGATATCCTCTTTTACTACTCCCTTTTGAGGGTCATGCCTCAACAAAACTTCTACCTCAAAGCCAGGGACCCATCCATGTACCTCGTAACTCATCTTCTCGACTCGGACATGGGGTACAAGGATGACCTACTCATTTTCAAGGGATCTTGGCAGAGGGGTGCCGGTCTCGAGTACAACGGCTTGTTATGCCCTTTGGAATGGAGAACGACAAGCATGTCGGCTTCTTCGGGTCTATTATTTTGTTCTTGAGATTTTTTAGCAGAGTTCATAACTCACTCCCCTCTCTTTTTGTTTGTGTGCAGACATCTCCACTCGGGAAACAGCTCCTCCACCTCGGTCCTTGGTGAACTTTGCCGACCTAGTCACTGTTTGGAGATTTACTGGTGACGACGGGTTCGGCCGGGCTGCCCACATCCTCCTGAATTACACTCCCGGATATAAAAAGTTCTCACAGCTTCCCCAGCCTTTCGAGTCTTCGTGGTGGTCTGAATTCTTCGATCAGGCGGTGTCGCAAGAGGACGAGGAGAATTTGGAGGAAGACCCCGACCGGGCTACGGAGGCAGAAGTAGAGGGTGAAGTTGAGGAGGTCGGGGTTAGAGAGGATTTGGTTCCTTCGCACGACGAGGTGGGGACTTCGGGGAGAGATTCGTGGTCTGACTTTCAAATCCTGCAATCTCTAGACGCTGAGGACGCCCTCGAGATAGCTATGTCCAACACGTCCCGCATTGATCTGGGATTCCTGAGGTAGAGGCAAGCCCTCGCTGCAGGGTGGGGGCGGAAGTCAACTAGCGGGGCCCCACCTAAAGGGACCAGCGCCACCCCACCTTCAAGGGCCGTTGGTCGGGGCCAAGTACGTGACCGAGATCCTCAGGTCGAGGTGGAGAGAAGGATTAAACAAAGGCACGATGGCCTGGGCAGGGGATCCAGGGCCCCCTCCGCTCAGCAGCAAAGCGGGAGAGGTCGTGGGTTTCCTCTTCCTCCACAGCAGCAGAGGCAACAACAACAACAACAACAACAACAACAACAACAACACCAGCAGCAAGGGCAGACTCCCCCTCCCCTTCCGCAGACGGTGGAAGCCACAGAGTGGAATTCTCAAGCCACCGATCACATGAATCGTGTGATCAGGGTTGACGATTTCATTTTTCAGGACCCTCATGTTGCCAATGCAGTGGGTGAGACGCTGCACTTCGAGGCCGACATGATGGCTCACAGGGGGCGATCAACGAACGTGTTGTTTCGCTCTATCATTCAGAATTCCCTGGTGGTAAGTTCATTCTTGCTTCAGTCCTTTCTAACCGCTTCTCTTTTTATCGACATGCCCTTTCCTTTGCAGGCCACCCAACAGATTTCTATAATAGCGGCGCGGTATCATGGGGCTAGGATGGACCTCCAGCGGGCTCGAGAGCAGAAGGAAGAAGCCGAGGGAGCCCTCGCCAGTGCTAAGGAGGATGTAGCTGCCAGGGATTCCACCTTCGTGGGGCAGACTGCTCAAATCGAACAACTCCTCAAGGATGGGTAAAGGGTGTTTGTATGACCTCGTCTTCGACCTCATCCTGGACAACTTTACTTTTTCTCCTGGATTCCAACCGGGCTCTGAGATCAATTTCCTTCCCAACGGGATGTCTTCTGAAGTCTCTGAGTTCATCAATAGGTCCCCCATTTCCTGGGCGTCGTGTGGATAGGGTTGAATCCTCCTCGGACTCATCTCCCTTCCTCCGTCTCGACAATCCTTGCCGGAGGTCGTCCAGGGCTAAAGGCCTTGCCTTCCTGGAATGGTCGTTAAGAGAGTGCTCGTTGGCTCTTGGTCGCTTTGGGGCCCTGGAGCTTTTTGCCTTGTTATTTAAATGATTCCTCAGATCCTTCGTTTTTGCCTCCCGGACGGGGAGTCCACGAAAAAGGAATGAGTCCCTCGACCCTTCGTCGGAGGCGGCGAATTTGTTGAGCCGGCTTAGGACGTTCACATTGTCCTTTTTCAACTGTCGTAATCGATCCCCAAACTTTTCTTCGATCACCTCTGCCAGTTGACGAGCCAAGGGGGCAGATCCTCCTGACCTGATGCCCATACTGGTTTGAGAAGTAAGCCCTCTTGACTGAATAGAGGCATTTCTATTCCCATCAGTGTGATCCCTCCCTCCATGGTGACATGAAGCTTGTAATTCAAGACTTCTTTGCTGGGGACCTTTCCTTTTTTGTCGAGTATTTACTATGGTCACTGTTCTGTATAGAGAAAAAACTAGGAAAACTAGTTGTTTCCCACAGACGGCGCCAGATTGTGCGTGCTGGATCTTGCACAATATAAACACGAGAACAGATCTCTCCCTTGGTGAACTCGAGTGAGTAAGTCGAGTGGTCAACCCTACTGCTTGGAACAGCCTGTGAAGTCCGGTGGTAGCCTGTAACGATAATGGGAGACCCTCGTGGATCAACGGAACGATCCAGTAAGGCTGAGGAAGATTCCTGGAACAAAGAAAGACAAGTTAGAAGGGCGCCGGAGTGTTTTTCGGCGTATCACCTCCGACGATTAATTCAGTTTTTGAGAGAGAGGAAGAAGAAAACACTGAGTATAAGTTTGAGAAAAGGTTTTCACCTTCTTTTTCCCTATCTTGCCTTTTGTGAGGAGTATTTATACCTCAAAAACTCATGATTGCTGTTAGTGTGGTCAGTAGGTGATCATTAGATACGGGCAACGTGCGCACTGATTCCTATGAGGAATGTCTTCTCTTTTAACTGTTCGGGATCCCGAGTAACCAAGGCTGTGTCATCGGCCTGCCGACTGTTTAATGAGCTCCTCTCGGTAAGGATGTAATAAATGCCCAGCCTTAGGAATATTTATTACCTTTCGCTTCCGAGCCTTATCGCATTAAATGCTCTCTCATCAAGGGAATGGTGTAATTAAATGCTTGCTTTCCCAAGTCGTGTGTCAGCAAAGGCATTCGGTCTTTTTGTCTTTGATGTGACACAATATGCCACGCGTCCATTCCCCATTGGCTGTGTCCCCTGCCTTCTTGTGCCTTCTGACACCAATTATGTAAGACGAGGTCATGATGGCTAACTTAGCCTAGCCTAGGCTAATGACCTGTACATCAATAGCCTCTGCAGGAGCAGATAACGCCATCCTGGACGGGTACATCTCGGTACCGAGGGGGGAGTGGTACATGTAGGGACCGATGTACCCTATACGACCCCGAGGGATACGTGTCGGTATGTAACGTACTGGGTGTTATTGATCCCTATGAACAGTACCTCGGGGAACAGGGACTTGTGATCTGACGGGTACGTGTCGTGTTTATAGGAAAAGAATTTACTGATGCCGAGGACACGTGTCTTCATCTTTGAGTACTTGGAAATGTCCCATCAAAGATATACATGAAGGTAACTTAATCTGTTGAGATTTACTAGAACAGTGGCCTGCCTTGTTCACTTGTTAGGTTATCAAAACCTTAACTTGACTAATGTATTAAAAATTTATAAAATAAGGGAGGCCTGGTCTGCAAGACTCCCAAAACTGTGGGGTTTGGAAAGGGCCTTACCTAACATGTGGAGAGGCTGTTTGCATAAGTGGAATCCTTCATGCTCAGGTCCCAGTGGCGCAACCTTGGCGCAGCCAAGGCCCACTCTCCATTCAGCAAATTTATATGTTTTGTAATTTGTTTATTGTTGGCTTTGGTTGCTTATCTTTTATTTACAGTTCTGTATGACATTGCACTGTTGCAGCCATGGCTTTGCAATTGTTATTGGCTTACCTGCATTGTTTTTGTTTTTCGGGGGAGGGGGGGAGGAAGGAGGGGTTGGGGGTAAAAGAGAGAATAAACTACACTGAGTCTATACTGTACCATGATTCAGGTGATCAAATCAAGAACTATTGCTCTATTTTTTTTCTGTAAGGATTTACCCCAAAAGGAACCCTTCCAAAAATTCTCTAAGGCCTAGACCGAACTCAGGCCCAAGAGGGGGTTTGGAAATAGTTTTCAACCAGCAATTGATGCACCACTGTTATTACCTCACCATTACTCTATTCACTGCATCCTTGGCAGATGAAATGTATGACTCTTTTTTTTCCTGTACAATGTTCCTCTAAAATTGTGATTGTACTTGTGAAGCAATGACGATCTATTGTAAACATTTCTAGCCTTTACCCCTCAAATTTTTTATTCTGTCATGTTCTGTTAATGAGCAAGAACCCAGTTGTTGGAATCTGTCTTACATGGTTTGATCTTGACAGACTTTGGAAGTGGACATCTATCACAACATTAGCCACTCAAATGCATTAAGCACACAATTTTATTCTTTTGGAATTACATCCAATTTTGGGCACACGGCTCATGGCTTGGCTGGTACTGTCCGCCAAAGATATGATTAGATTCTGAATGCATCCATAGATGCTTCAATTGGCAATTTAGTGATAAGTTTTGTATTTGTCATAAATTTTCTGGTCCATGCATAGACAGTATTTTCTTTATTGCCATGGTGATGTAGAAGTAGTTCCTGACCTATGTTATTCACTTTCTGACTGACAGAGCGACATTGATCATTCTCAAAGTTCTATGAATCATGCTAAGATTAAGAATTTTAGTAGTGGAAATAGCCAGATGGCATCACAGAAGCCAACAGCATCAAGTCATCGACGATTGGCAAGGTCTTTTAGCCAGAAGGATGGCTACTCGGTAAAACTGTCTTATATCTGAAATTGTATACATTTGTTACTTTTATTAGGACTTCTGCTTATAATCATAAAAATGGGGAACCATTTTATTGACATTTTTCGATACAAGTGGATATATATGGTTCAGTGTTAAAACATTGACCATCGATTTGGAGAGCGCTAAGACGCATTGGTCATGGCGTCACTAAGGCAATACATACAAAATGCTAGATAGAGGATGAAGTTGAACATAATGAGAGATTTAAATCATATCATGGGGTCACGAAATAGTATCATGGCCTTTCAGAAGAATGACTCGGCTGAGTTGTTCAAGACACCTTTGAATCAACCTCGAGTTGAGTGAGACTCATGATTTACAGTGTGTCACTCTCAAAACAGGATTTTGGTCGATGCTTTGAACCATGTGAGAGATAGAATAAACACAATAGTTGGTTTCAAAACCTTCTGAACTTTTTAAATATACTACTTTTCTAATTGACCTGAGTCGTTGACTTATAATATGTGCGCTGGACCTATCAGAGCCATTCTGCTGCCCTAACTGATGATGACCCAAGGGATGCATGTTCTGGTAAAAATGCTACTGAGAAGACCATTCGAGCAGTTTATGCACAGAAGAAGGTTGGTTATTTGTTTCAAGTAACAGCTAATTAGCTAATGGCCAATGTTTTTTTACATGTCTCCTCTTTTGAAATCTACTGTCCCTCTTCAGGCTCAACACCCAACTGGGGATGATCTAAACAGTGGATTGTATGAAGCAATGCGAAAAGAACTCAGATATGCTGTTGAAGAAATCAAAACAGAACTTGAACAAGTAGGTTGAAATTTTCATTTTGTAAACTAATTTTCCAGCATCTCTGGTAAAAAAAAAAAACTTTCCAACATCAAAATCTTTCATAATGGCAAATATCTTGTATCCTCTGTATGCTGAAAATTGTCGGTTTTCTTTCATGCAGGCCATGGGGAGAAATACCTCTACTGTGGCAAGTGGTGATTGCTTGCAGTCAGACAACTCTGATGTTCTTCAGGCCTTGTCTACAATCCAAAAAAATTATGCCTCAAAATTAGAGCAGGTATGTATCTGTATGTCTAACTATGACATCTCTTCAAAAAGAATTGTTTCATGTAGTGCTATACATCATGCATACATACATACATACATAATACATATGTAGATATACTTGTATATGGTAATTTTTTGTAGTTTATACTGCTGTCACTAAATATAAGCAAGGCCAGCCCAAATATAAGGCCACTAAAGCAGGGGTTTTAGGCCCCAACAAAAAATGAGGGCCCAAATTTTGAAGACTATAGCATAGTTCATACTATAAATTTACACCCATAAAAATTAAGTCCAATAAAAAGCTTAATTAAAATTTCAATTAACAAAAAAAAATCGTAGTTAAATGATTTGGAGCTAAAAAATCCACACAAGTAAATTTGGCAAAAAAAATAAAAAAGCAGAAAAGGTTCAAAAAATACTGTACAATAGGCATTACTAGCTACTCTCTCTCCCACACTCACATGTATACACATATTCTCCCTCTAACTATGTTTTTGTGATTATCTAAAATTAAAATACCAATCAAACCATTATTATATGAATGCAGCCGATGACGAGTAAACTTTGAAGTATACATCATGCATTACATTATATAAATTGATTTTGTGTTATTCTTCAAGAATCGAAATTAGTCAGCAATTGAATTCAGTTCGCTTAATCTACAGTCAGAAAAGCGTAAACAAGACTTATTTGCTGAGATGGTTCTAGAGGAGCAACGAGGAAGGGAACTATCTAAGATTGTGAAAGAATTTCTTCCTGATTCAAAGAGTTCTGCTGTTGCACCGAAACAACCGCGGGGTAGAAAGGTAGAGTTCTCTCGGTGGTGTTCAACTGCAACTTTTTATACGAGCTTTGTCAATTTCGGGTCAATTATTTTGATTGCCATAATGTGGTGTTATTCTTAGATGGAAGTGGGGATTTCTTATTATGTTAATGAAAATGCCTAAACAATTTTTTCAGAGGAGTAATGACAGAAATGGGATGTCAAAAAGATTGATTGAAGAGGCTGAGAAATATTTTGACGACTTCATTTCAAATGTTGAAGATACAGATATTTCTTCATTTGATGGAGAAAAGAGCGATGCAAGTTCAACTTTAGGAGGAATAACAAAACCAAGAGATGCTGCAACACATGGGGAAATAGAACCGTATCATTGTCCTCTCTCAGGATCTAATTCTCTTCCTGTTGAAATGGATGGTGTTATTTTGCCTTGGCTGCAGTGGGGGACTAGTAATATTGGTTCTCCTCTTCCAGGCAAGAGTAGAACACCAATACCTGTGACTCCAAAAACTCTGTTGTGGGATGCAGTGCAGGTAATCTTTGACCTTTGACATGTCTGTGTGATTTGATTATTTGGCACCGCACCCATGCTATTTCTGGCTTAAAATGAGTGGCTCTTCTTGAAGTCATTTGCATAAATTTATATTTTTATTTTCTTTAAATGCATTGCAGATTGCTTTACTAGCTCATAGGAAATTGGTGCCTGTAGGTATGAAGATAACTGAAATTACATCAAAGGTTACATTTAGAGGGTAATTTGCTCCAATATGGTGGAAAATTTAGAGGCATAATGGGTGAGCATCATATTAGTAAACAAGAAGAACTTGGGATTTTCACAAATTGAGTTCTGCATACTTCACTTTACAAACTAACAGTTGTAGATCTTTCTGTCGCGTAACTTTTTCGGAGGAGCTGATTAGAAAATCATTGTCTGATTGTATTGAATGTATATTTTCTCTTTCTCTTGTTATGTAATGCGATATTAGTTTTTGTAGAAACATGATATAAGCTGATAGAAGTGATATAGAACATTAAATTGGTTTTTGCATCCTAGCAAAATAAGGATATACAACCGCATAGTATGGGGTTGGGTTCAGGGAGCTTAGACTTGTGGGAGAGCTGGGCAACTAGGGAGTGCAGGAAGTCGCTGGTGGGTCGTGCTTTCTATTCTGAGGGAGACCGGAGTCTAAGGCACGGAGTCCAATCAGTCACTGTTTATGTTGCATAAGGAATTGGCCTACACATGGAGGAGGCCAATGAGATGCAGTCATGTGTCCAAAGAAGATTGTCGTTGGGCCAGTAGAGACACTTGAATTAGCCTGAGCAACAGATGATATAAACAAATTCATATTCTTCAGCACTTGCATAAGAGTTCTTTGCCGTCAACTTTATTTTTTCCGGGTGCTATTGGGCCATTATTATCATGGTGCATGCTAGTTATTTACATTCATTCCCAACCTTTGATCTTCTGTTTATTTTTTCTTAACTTGTAATTATCTAGGACGTGACATTGGCACAAGAGTTGGGAAGTCATTCCACCAGCAGTCGTGGGAGTTGGAGCCCGGGGCTCTTTAATGGCGATCCAATCGATACAGTAGAAGTGAGCGGAAGTAAATCCAGAGAACTCGGGAGTACCCAACGGTCAAGTTTTGACATGGATGAATATCTCAAGCTTCAAACTGCTGAAGAACTCTTGTTTGAAAGATGGAGAGAGCGACACAGAATAAGTTCAGGTGGTCTATTGCTCTGTGGCAATATGCTTTAGCTATGTTCATTCTTTTTTCCTCCCTTCCCTAAAACTCTGTACCTAGTGCATATGTGAATGAATGTTTTGCTTAGAAAGTAGCAATTAATTTATCCCGGGGCATTGCATGCTGTGTTGTTTCAAGTTATTAGTACCATTTTTTTTCCTTAATATTGCAATCAAACCCTTGAGCTTAATGTTGAATGGCGACAAGAATTCCATGTCCCAACTCTAGGTGAATTCTGAAATGGATCACGCCGTGGTATTGTAAGTTGTAACACCCCAATCTAAACGTGACTGTTTATGTCATAACCTTTGAATTTCAGCACAAATTCAACAGAATCCAATTTAGGGTTACAGTAACAGGGATGAGTAGTAAATTCAGATATTTTGGGTTTGAATTTTGAAAACTCTTTGAGATTAGATTATGAGAGATTTATTTTTTATAAATACTCTAGTCATAATGTGGATAACTTGTTTTTGATTGGATGGGAAGGAGATTAGTCGAGGTATATATAAGTTGGTTCGAACATCTTTAACCTTAGAGCCAAATTGGGTCACGATAAACTCTCATTAGGGATGGTTTAGTGGTTGAACTTAATCTCTAATAATTCAGAAATTTTAAGTTAATATTTTTTATACTCTTAAAAATCAACTATTTTAATTCGTCAAGAAATATGTTTTAAATTCTTTTGAACAACGGTGACTAATATTCAAACTCAAAAAAGTAAGCAAGCAGGGGGGGAAAAAATTCACACTGAATAGGAGCACCAAGGTGCACTTCTCCTCCTCCCATTTGGGCCAAACTTCCTCGGGAAAAGGAAAACGGAAACTTTTCCATTTAACAAAAAGAAAAAATAAATAATTTCACTGTCATTTACCAATCGGGCCCATAAAGTTTAGTGATTCTGACTTTCCTAGTATATAGCAAAATCTATTAGAAAGATAACAGACTTCAAAAGAGGATTGAACTATTCAGTCACTCTACAATTTAGATCCTCTCAATTTTGAAGTCTAGTTACCTTAAGTCAAATATAATTATCTATGGTTAAATTTATTGGGTCCCATTCAATTATGATGAAATCTACACAAACCTATCAATGGGCCCACTAATTTAACGATCACCGATTGAATTAGACTAACATTGGAAAATTCGAAACTTAGAGGATCAAAATCCTGTACTATTTCAGTCATAAAAGGATTCAAACTCTTCGAGGGCAGTGTCACGCAGAATGTGAAGCACCAAAATCTGCAGAGAATCAGAATTTGTTGGTACCAGGAAAGGTTTTTTCATGCTATTGAGTTCTGGTAAAATCTATAGAAAAAAACACAAGAAAAAGTGCAATGGAAATTCAACAATCACAGACAGATGAAATTAGATCGGCAAAGGAGAAAGAACTGAACGATTGGCTTCCAGTCACGTCGTCTCGGAACGGAAAGTGGTGGTATTCTGCTTTCCACAATGTCACAGCTATGGTTGGTGCCGGTGTTCTTGGCCTCCCCTATGCCATGTCTGAGCTTGGATGGTACGTCACTCGTAATTATAAAAGAATTTGAGTTTTACACTGCATAATTTTGGTATACGTCGTGAGAAATTTCTCTCTTATGAATACCTTAATTTTGGCATTGATGACCTATTGTTGACGGGACCATGGAGGGACTAGCAAACTGGTCCGGACCGTTAAAAAGGAAAAAATGTTTGTGTCAATCATATAATCTCCAGTTTTTGTTTTTTCGCTGAGCACTTGACCTAGGTTTTAGTTCTAGTAAATCTGCCCATGGGATTGGCCTGTTTTCCAACTATTTTTATGAGGCTTGAACCTAGACTTCCGTTTTGGTGTGGGAAGGAGTTGCTCCTCATGGTTTGAGATTGTAGTATCGATCATTAATTTGAAAGGCAATGAGACCCATAAATAGAAGTTTCATGAAATAGAGTAACTCCGACGACTCCACAAGAGCTGTATAAGTGTTGTGGTTTACACAAAACTTAAAACGATATTGAAATGAAAGGTATTAAGTTGGATATGACTAGAAAAATGGATATTTTGAATCAACGTTACCGCGAATTGTGCCCTTAATGATGAAGGTGTTGGATTGATTCCCGCCTTGATTTAGGTTGGTTTTTTTGAGGTAATGCAAGGGTAAAAAAGCTAATTCTTAATTCGGTCAAAGGCAGACTATCTAGTGATAAATCTCTCATGACATGATCTTATGAGGTTACCAAAATTCGAACTCAGAATGTCTTACCTCTTTAGCTACCCTTGGAGTTGATTGCAATAACCGGTTAACATAAAAAGTTCTGTGTAAATGCATTATACATATTTTTGTTATATGTGTATGTATGATTGAATATTATTCTATGTATTGTACATTCCAACTATGATCATGATCATCCCAGTTACTGGGGTTATTCATGTCTTTTAGGGGTCCCGGAATTACCATAATGATCCTATCATGGGTCATCACCCTCTACACCCTTTGGCAAATGGTAGAAATGCATGAAATGGTACCAGGAAAAAGATTCGACAGGTACCACGAATTAGGCCAGCATGCTTTTGGTAAAAAACTTGGGCTATGGGTGGTGGTACCCCAACAATTGATGGTGGAAGTTGGGGTGAACATAGTGTACATGGTCACCGGCGGCAAGTCGCTGAAGAAGATTCATGACACAGTGTGTTCCGGCTGCAAACCGATCAAAACCACATACTTCATTATGATCTTTGGATCGGTTCACTTCTTTCTCTCTCACCTTCCCAGTTTCAACTCCATCACTGTCATCTCTCTTGCTGCTGCCATCATGTCCTTCAGGTATTGTTTGTGCTTCTTTTGGTTGATATAATCTATCTGCTTCCAGGAATCAACCATACTTAGAAAAGGCTATTGATGAATCTCCAACTGATAAGCCACTTATGCTAAAATTTCCCAAAAAAAAAAAAGAGGAAAATTTGGGTTAATGTGATTTCCCAATTTTTTGATTGCTTCAATTTAGTCTCTACAAGACTAAATTTGAGCTTATGTGATTTCCAAATCTCTAATTTTCCAAATTTTTGACGCAATTAGACGACTTCTTACTCATGTGAGGGGTGTCAATTTTATTCGTTAATACGAACCAGATCCGACACAAAACTCAAAAATAATACGATTAGTTAAGACGAGTAATAAATAGGTTAAATTAAGGTTTGACATGAATAACACGATTAATGGATACTATAGATAAAAGATAATTATTTAAACAGTATCATAGACAAAAAATAAGAATTTTATAATTTTTTAAGTTGTATTATATGAGTTGTTGTCAAATTAAATAATTTTTTTTACTAACACGAACCCGACACATACTGAAAATGACACGACATAAAAATGATACGAGTGACACCTCTACACACTAGTTGGGTCATATGAGGTAGTCTAATGCATCCAAAAACTTGGACAATTAATCCAAAAAAGTACTAGATCAAGTAACGACTTAATAGGATCGATCTAGGATAAATTCAAAAAATTTGAGATTGACCTAAACTTTTTAAATTCAATCTCATTTTTTTTTTAACCTCAATTGTGATTAGTGACTTGAGCTTATTGACTATAATTTGATTTCATTGTCGTTCCCTAATGCTTTTGGGCTCAGTGCCGAAAATTAAAAGATTGCATTACTTGCTTCGGTTCTCCCAAAGTTTGTATTTCGTCTCAATTTGGTCCGTAATATTATATTTGTTGAATTTATTTTTTAGTGATTCTCACGTATAAGTATAACGTCATCCAAAATTTTAATGGTTTTTGCTCATGTGCTTCCCACGTGCTCTGAAATGAAGGTTATTTTAGATAAATCGAAGTCTACTTGACCCAAAAATTACAACATTAATTCTAAAAATATTCACTTCGTCACATTTTGGTCTCCAACATTATAATAGTATATGAATTAATTGTAATGTTGGGAACCAAAATGAGAAGGAGGGTATACTTTGAGGATTATTGTCGTAATTTTTGGTCAGGTGTATTGTGATTTATCTAAAATACCCTTTATTCGGGAACATGTATGAAGCACGTGAGCAAAAATTGTTAAAAATTTAGGCGGTTTTATACGTGGAGATCACTTAAAAACAAATTTAATACATCAAGGATCAATGTGATACAATTGTAACACTAGAGACCAAAATAAGACGAAATACATACTTTGAGGGCCACCGCCGCAGTTAGTCCTAAAAGATTTTTTCTCTCGTAATTCAAGTAGAAGAATAGCATTTCTTCCTCAGAAATGTTTATTAAACTAAAGAATATGCCCCCAATACTTAATGTTATTATGCTTGTGACAGTTACTCTACCATAGCTTGGGTTGCTTCCATACACAAAGGGGTTCAACCAGATGTAGAATACACTTCCAGGGCCTCCACCAGAACAGGATCAGTATTCCAATTCTTCAGTGCCCTCGGAGACGTTGCGTTCGCCTTCGCCGGACACAACGTTGCCTTGGAGATTCAGGCAACCATCCCTTCCTCACCTGACAAACCATCAAAGAAACCCATGTGGAAAGGCGTGATCTTCGCCTACATCGTCGTGGCTTTGTGCTATTTTCCGGTAGCCATGGTGGGTTACTGGGTGTTCGGAAAGAATGTAGAAGACAATGTTCTGATATCACTGCAGAAACCAGCTTGGCTCATTGTAATAGCCAATGCTTTTGTTGTAGTCCATGTTATTGGAAGCTATCAGGTAGAAAAAAACATCAATTTGGTGCCTCTATTGTCTATTCTGATTGGCGGTTTGTTAGAAGGAGAGGTGGTTTGATGCTGTGATTCTAACGAGTTTGTATTGTTTTTTTCTAAGGTTTTTGCAATGCCAGTGTTTGATATGGTGGAAGCTTGGTTGGTGATGAAGATGAACTTCAAGCCATCTAAATTACTTCGTATCGTCACCCGCACTCTTTATGTTGGTAGGCATTAACTCAAATACGTTTGATTCTTCTGACAAGATATGGCCATATAATTAGCGGGTTATGATTAATTGATTTTTGATATTAATTTATATTAGAGGGTGTTAATTGAGTTGAGTTTCGTGAGTTTAAATCCGAACTTGATTTTTTAAATGAATTTAAAAAATTGTTCAAGCTCAATTTTTTTTAGAAAATGAGTCGAATCCGAATAACTCAATTATTTACATATAAGCGAGTCGAATTTTTTGAATTCAAGTTGAACTTAAAAAATTATTCAAACTCAACTCGTTTAAAACACAAGTTGAGTTTGAGTAGAGACTTATTCGAGCCGAGTCCGAGTGACTCTCTTGACTAACACCCTACTCATTTACGATATTACCCTTCAAAAAAGAATAATAAACCGGTATGATTAATTGTTATCAAACAAAGAGTAATCCAATTTTGACATAATAAAATTGTTTAACTAGTGTAGTAGTAAGAAAAATGTTTATTTTTTCATTTCTTATTTCTTGATGAAGTATTTAATGAATCCTTGTGAAAATTGTTGTTCTAATCCTAGATTTTTGGTTCACATTGTATATATTCATGTCAACCTAGACACGATACATATGTTAGCATGAATAGTATTCAACATAGCTTAAAATAATATGATCCAAATATAACACCACTCAATCGACACTCCTCCTTGAGGAAATTTTATGGTTAGATTATGGGAGTCATTTTCTAATATTTTCATCTGGATGCAGCCCTCACAATCTTTGTTGCAATCACATTACCATTTTTTGGGGGACTTCTTAGCTTCTTCGGAGGATTTGCTTTTGCTCCAACAACATACTATGTAAGTCACTGTCTCTAATTTTCTTCCCCTTGAAAGTAGGGTGCTAATGAGCCGAATTTTGCAAGTTTTGGTGAGCTTGTTTTTTAAAATGAGTTTAAAAAAATATTCAAGTTCGGCTCATTACAATTCAAGATAAGCTCGAATAGTTCGACTATTTTACATATAAATGAGTTAATTTTTACAACATTGAGCCAAGTCTTTATGAGCTTAAAATATTGTTTAAACTTAACTCGTTTAAAACACGAATTTTATCCGAGCCTTACCCGAATAGCTCGTCTCAATTAACACTCTACTTGGAAGAGCCTATGATTCAAATGCTAAATTTCTTATTTTCTCTCTTGCAGCTCCCCTGCATCATGTGGCTTGCCATCTACAAGCCCAAAAAGTTTGGTCTTTCTTGGTGTGCGAACTGGGTATGTTAGATATAAGTCGTATTTCATCATTTTTATATTAACACTTTCATTAAGCATAATTGATAAGTCAGTTTGTTAAGGCTATCCACATATCCGCCAAAGTTTATGTCGGTTTGGTGTTACATTGGTGAATCGGGTTAAGAATTGTCATTCAAAATCGTTCTATTTCTAACAATTTTATTTTATAGTTGCCTTTGACTTTTATGATACTTTAAAATCTAGTATGGTTGTCATTTTTGCAGACATGCATCATCCTTGGATTCCTGTTGATGGTTTTAGCTCCCATTGGTGCATTGAGAGGGATCATTTTGCAAGCCAAGGACTTCCAATTCTACTCTTGATCACAGCTAGCTGTGCTCAAGATCAAGGATAAAGCTGAAAACTTGGATAGTGTCATGGCTTTTACTTAAACAATTGTTTTTTATTATCTTAATTGTGACCATGGTTTATGTTAGTTGCATATATTTTGTTTGTTTTAATTGTTAAGTATGAGATTTGAATCATAACGTCTACATCTTAGGATGTTTGATATTTTCTATGTTATGTTCTTTATACATCTCTTCTTCATGCTCTTTATTGACGACCAAGTCACAATGGCAATGATGTATGTCTCTGATGATGTGAAAAGTATTCTGACTCATCACACAGATTCCGACCCAACTGTCCATGATATGATAAAAATAGAATAGAAGGAAAAAAAAAAACGATTCTATGCACATACATGCAAGCTCTATCAATAGAAGCATTCTAGCATATTTTATTTTGATTGATTTAGAAATGAACGATTCACTTCTGAGTGATATCGACTCGAGTTAATTAAACGGAGTATAATTGGTAAAACTAACCTATTATTTACTCTTTAAATTTTATAAGGTGTGCTGACTTCATGGGCCTTGTCGGGCCTAGTGGGTAAAAAGCCAAGGCCCATGCCATTGAACTATCAGGCTATCAACAGGCCACCATTGGTGAACTGAGCCAGTCCATAGCCCAATGGTTTAACTGGCCATTCCGTGGACTATGGCCCGTTTAGGCTCCAGCGACTAACTAACGAATCAAACTAACTTTATCCACATTACATACTCTCTCAGTTATCTCTGAGACTTCACTGAAAACACAAATGCAAAACCTTCAAGCTCCACTTTTCTTCACCTTCCTTCCCACAAAAACCCTCCTAAAACCCTATAAACCCCCAAACCCTAAATTCTACTTTCGCAAACCCCACTATCTCCACACTAGATTCACCGTTCAATCATTCAGCTCCGACGAATTTCCGGTCGACGAGACTTTCCTCGAATCCTTCGGGCCCAAAGAGAAAGAATCCGAGGACGAAGCCCGTCGCCAGAACTGGATCGAACGTGGCTGGGCTCCATGGGAGGAAATCCTCACTCCCGAAGGTGATTTCGCCAGAAAATCACTGAACGAAGGCGAAGAAGTGCCCCTTCAAACCCCCGAAGCCATCGAAGCCTTTAGAATGCTAAGCCCCAAGTACAGGAAAAAGAAAATGGAAGAAATGGGATTGACGGAGGACGAGTATTATGCGAAACAGTTCGAGATTAAGGGTGAAATTCCGGAGCCTTTGAAGACGACGTGGGCAGGGCCGGTGGTGCTCCGCCATGTGCCGCCGCGTGACTGGCCGCCAAGAGGATGGGAGGTAGATAGGAAGGAATTGGAGTTTATTCGAGAAGCGCATAAGCTGCAGGCTGTGAGGGTGGATTATGAGGAGGTCGAGAAGGTGGCCAAGACTGATACGGATGATATGTGCTTGGAGAGGTACAAGGTGTTCTTGAAGCAGTATAAAGAGTGGCTTGTGGCTAATAAGGATATATTGGAGGAGGAGTCTTATAAGGTCTATTGTGAATTCATTTATTAATCTGCATGCTTATTTTGTGTTGAACTGTTCATTAGATTGAATTCCCAATAACTTCTGGCACACTACAATTGTTTGGTAGAATGGTGATTGCACGAACACTTGAAAATTTTTATTGCTAACATTTGACTGTACAGTCTAAAATCCACTGCAATTTCAAAAGCTTGGAATGTTTTACTAAGTTGGCTAGTCTGATATAATGATTGATTTGGCTATGCAATCTGTATAGTGATTCTGGGTAATTGAGTGTATATATATTGATCCTATTTCATGCGCTTGCCATCTATTTATCACTGAAACTATACTACTCAAAGTTGAGAAGGGAATAAAGAACGAAGCACATGCAAATTAGAATGATTATCTTTGCTAGAGAAATTAAGCATAATGATCATTTATTATAGGAGACTAATGTGCAGTTTTATGATGTCCTAACAGTATGACCAAGATTATTATCCTGGGAGGAGGAAAAGAGGCAAGGACTACAAAGAGGGCATGGTAGTTTGGCTGTTTTCATCTATATTTACTTTTCAAGTCTTTTGGATTATATTTGGATTGTGGAATATGATCTTACTGATCTTATCTGTTTTTCTGCAGTATGAGCTCCCATTTTATTATCCAGGACAGGTAAGTTCGTTTTTGCAATTTTTATTTTTTTCTTTTTCTTTCAATGTTAGAGCTCTCATTTTCAATTATGCTTCCCATCCTCTTGAACTGAAAAACCATCTTGAACAGACAAATGGAATATGTCTGTACACTGTATTACTTGATATGTCATTTGCATGCACTGGTTTTAAGTTGTTAGCTTTCTGTTGAAAAGACAGTAGTCTTAAGTTGTACTGGATCTTTACTACTTTTATGCTCCCATTTAATCCGATAAACCGTTAGACTTTTTCACCGACTTATTAGAGGAACCATCTAATTATGTGTTATGCTGGACCATGTGCTGCCAAAAATAATCTAATTGATTTTGAATTTATAAATGAGTTTGCCTTTTGTTCAAAAGCTCTATGGGGACTATATCACTATCATTCAATAATTTCTTTGGTGCGCTTTGCCATTGACACATAATGAAAGCCTCATCTTCAATTGAGGAATAATGGTTTGAACACTGTCTTGCAATGATATCTACGGTCTTTTTTATGCATTCTTCTCCCCTTCTGATCTCTATGGCAATTTTTTAAAAAAAATTGTGGTGTCATGCATTAATGATTTTAGTGTTGAAGCAATCCCAAATTTCCAACTGATTTAAACTACAACATAAGTATTCTGCTTGAAAGAGTAAAAAGGAAAAGCAAATATGCATATCTGGTTTGCAGATACTTGAGGCTTTTCCTGGGTATCTAGCTTTTAGTGAAGCTGAACTACGCCCATTTGTATCCTTTAATGTATGGTGTCATGGTGAAATAAATATGTAATGGATGAAATTGTAGCTTCTTGAATCTGCTTCATAATTCACCAACTTGAGTTGCAATAAAGGTTAATTCTCAGGGGACATATTTTTGCAGATTTGTGCTGGTAAAGTCACTACTTTACACCTTTACCAAGGAGCCTTTGTTGATATCGGAGGTGTCTATGATGGGTAACTGTCATTTTCCTATGTTGCTGTTATGTTCTATGGGGCTGGAACTTTAATTTTTAGTAGTTTCATAAAGTACATTAGTGTCATAAAAGTATGCATGGAATGTGTGATTTTTTCCACCGTCTTCTTTTCTTCTTTCTTTAGATTTGAATGATTATCGCAAGATTACACAAATGAAAAAGGCTCTCATGCTTGTGGTTATGGAGAGGATTAAAAGTAGGTTTGTTATATTTGTGCCTTATTATTGCCTAAGAAAAAACTTCGACCTAAGTGGGAAGCAACAGTTTCTGAACTTGTATGAAGTTCTTGGGAGTTTAATAAAAAATTGGTGTGGAAACATCTGATTGTTAACATTGATCAAAAGGAATGAGAAGAAAAGAGAGAGAATGTATTATTCATGAAGACAAGTTTGTAATGCATAACATTACCTAGAAGTACACAAAAAAACCCTTATATAGTAGGGCAACACAATCATAAAGAAAATGCCTAAACTACCCTTATTATGAATACTCTAACACCCCCTCTCAAACTCATGATGTGATAGAAAACATCAAGAGTTTGTCAAAAAGAAATCTAAAACGTGCTATGATATGAGACTTCGTAAAAAAATCTGCTATCTGTATTGTGGAAGGAAGAAAGGGGAGAGTGATGGTGCCCTGCTGTAGATAATGACGCACAAAGTGACAATTAATCTCAATGTGTTTTGTGCGCTCATAGAAGACCGAGTTATGAGCAATCTGAATAGCACTGGTGTTGTCGCAGAACATAGGAGTAGGAGATGATACTGAAATGCCAAGATCAGCAAGGAGCCAACCAAACTATCTCAGCTGCAGTAGATGCCATAGCACGATACTCAGCTTCAATAGAAGAACGAGCAACAATAGTTTATTTTTTACTTTTTCAGGAAATAAGAGAATCTCCAGAAACAGACAGAAACCAGTGGTGGACTTGCGATCCATAGAGTCACCAGCCCGGTCAGCATCAAAGTAAGCCCTGAGTTCCATAGAGGAAGAGTGAGGAAAGAGTAAACTCTGATGGAGAGTACCACAGAGATATCGAAGAATGCGAAGAACAGCAGCCCAGTGAACGGTGGTGGGTGAGGCAACAAATTGACTCACAATGTGAACAACATAAGAGATATCCGGACGAGTATCTGTAAGATATACTAAACTCCCAACAATAGTCCGATAGAGGACTGGGTCAGATAAGAGAGTACCGTCATATGAAGAGTAACGAACATTGAGCTCTAAAGGTGTCTCAACTGTCCGATTATCTGATAAACTAGCTCGTTCAATAACATCTGAAGCATACTTGGACTGAGAGAGAAGATATCCTTTAGGAGAGGAAGTAATCTCAATACCCAAGAAATATTTAAGCTACCCCAAATCTTTCATCTCAAAATAGTCCTGCAACTGGGTTTTCAATAAGCATATGTTAGCAGTGTCATCACCTGTAATAATCATATCATCAACATATAGTAAGAGAATAATAGAACCTGAGGAAGTAGACCGTAAAAAGAGAGCAGAATCATGGTCACTAGCACGAAAACCCAAGTCACGGATAACTGAAGAAAATTTGGCAAACTATGCCCTGGGAGCTTGTTTAAGACCATATAAGGCACGATGAAGTCGACATATTTGACCAGAACTATAAGATAATCTAGGGGGAGGTGTCATAAAAACCTCTTCAGTTAAATCTCTATGTAGAAATGCATTTTTCACATCCATTTGAGACAAACTCCATTGTCGAATGGCAGCAACTGTAATCACGGTGCGAACAGTAGTCATCTTGGCAACAGGAGCAAAAGTCTCATCATAATCTAGACCATATTCCTGAGCAAACCCCTTGGCTATTAATCGAGCTTTATATTGTTCCACAGAACCATCCGACTTGGTTTTTATCTTATAAATCCACTTACAACCAATGGTGTGTTTACCGGGTGATAAAGGCACTAGCTCCAAAGCTCTGGTCTTATGTAAGGCAGACAACTCCTCATCCATAGCCTATTTCCCAAGTGGATCAAGTAAAGCCTCCTTGTAGGAGGTGAGTTCAGATAGAGAATGAATAGAAGTAAGAAAAGAACAAAAGTCAGAAGAATAACAAGTATTACTCCAACCAAACCTGTCTGGACATTTGCGAGAGCGCTGAGGATAGCGTGGGGTATGATCCACAGTGTCTGAACCTGATTGGGAGGCCGGAGAAGAAAAGGAAGGCACTGCATCCGGAGAGGAGATAACTGGAGTCTAGCGAACATATGTATGCACAATAGGGGGACGAGTAATAATAGTCAGCTTAGAAGATGAAGAATCTGACATAGGTATATCATTAACATATGTGTCATGAGGAACATTAGTAGGAAAGGGATCAATGTATAGCTGGTCAGACTTAGTCAATGAGGAAGAACTAGACGGAATTGAAAAGAAGGGAATATGCTCCATAAAAACAACATGACGAGATACATAAAGTTTGCGGGTGATGAGATTATAGCAACGATACCTTTTTTGACCCTCACCATAACCAAGAAATATACATAAAGCTGAACGGGCAGAAAGTTTTGGTACGAAGAACACTAGGGAGCAAAACAAAGCAGGTACAACCAAACACACGTAAAGAAAAATAGTTAGGTGGCTTACCACATAACTTTTCAAATGGAGAGACTCCAGAAGTGAGAATAGTAGGAATGATGTTGATCTAATGAACTACTGTCAAAACTACTTCCCCCCAAAATGAGCTAGGAACATGTGCTGATAAAAGAAGAGAACGTGCTGTCTCTAGAATATGACGATGTTTTTGTTCGGCAACACCATTCTGCTCAGGTGTGTCAGTGCAAGAGGATTGAAAAAGTGTACGATCAGATTTCAATAAATCATGAAAAGAAGTAAAAGTATATTCACCTCCTTGATCACACCGAAAGCATTTAATGACTGCGGAATATTGAGTGCGTACCATGTTACGAAATGTAGTGAAGATGGAAAAGAATTCAGATCGACGTTTCATCAAGAATATCCAACAATACCTCGTGTAATCATCAATAAATGAAATATTATATTTGGACCCTCCTTGTGTAGGAATAGGAGCCGATCCCCATATATCAGAGTGAACAAGAGCAAATGATGCAAGAGAACAAGTAACATTTTTATTGAATGACAATGCACTAAATTTAGCCAACTTGCATCCACTACAATCAGAAATGTCATGGCTTGCTAAATTACCCAAACTACCAGTCGAAGTTAAAAATTTTAAACGAGAAGAAGAAATATGACCAAGGCGAGAATGCCAGAAATAAAAATTAGATGACTCTGGACTCAAACGAAATGAAGATAAATCAACAGTAGAAGTAACAACAACAACAACATCTGGGACATGAAGCTCCTCCAACACGTATAACCCACCCTTTCTACAACCTGTCCCAATCAGTTTCTTGGACCATGGATCCTGTACAATACAACCAAAGGAAGAGAAATGAACCAAAAATCCAGAATCAAATAGTTGGTTGACTGAAAGTAAATTCAAAGTAAGTTGAGGAATATAATAGACATCTGAAAGTGTAAGGTTGGAAGAAATAATTGTCCCAACACCAGCTAATGACATTTGAGAACCATTGGTAGCAAGGACAGATAAAGATGGGGGAAAAACTATAGATGCAAACAAAGAAGAGTCACTGGTCATATGATGCGTAGCACCTGAGTCAAAGACCCAGGCGGTGCGAGATATACCTGAAGGGCTTGAATTGAACGAACCTATAGTGGGAGTAACTATGAGAGCACCAGAATTTTTACTTGCCATTGTATCAAAATCAAAGCAGTCAAAACTCCAGCAGCCACCAAATAAAACAATAACACCAAAAGAACAATCCACGGTTAAAACCCAGTAGCCACCTAATAAAGCAATAACTCCAAATATCAATCAACAACTAAGCAGAGACCACAACCAAACGCCCAGAAAATCAAATAGCCCAGTAGAGGGAAGCCCAAATTAGAACCAGTCCCAGCTAGAGAACAATAGTCAATCAATCTATTAGTCTCACACTAATAGCTTGTAGGGAATCAGAGTTTCCTGTCATGGTAGCAACAATTACACCACAGTCAAAGTCAAAGCAATCACAAAACCCAGCAGCCCCTAAGAAACAATATCACCAATAGCAAAGAACCAACTGCCGCAGAAAGCAAACAACCAGACTGTTGATTCAATTGTCGAAGCCACACCTAGATGACCACCCAGCAGAAGCCACTGTCCAAATTCAACTCAGAAAAGAGCAATCAAATGCACAGAAAAGCAAACAGTCGTTGCACTGTGAAGGGAGAAACACTCCACCGATGCACAGGGAGAAATAGTCGTTGCACTGATGGAAAAATCCAACCCAAAAAGAAGAAGAAGAAGAAGCAACCAATACCAGACCTCAACCAAATGTCCGACTGTTCTTACGATGAACAGTGGTCCAACGAAGCAAACCAGCCAAAATCCAACCAAACCTCAACCAAATGCCTTTCAATCACACAACTAGGCAGTATACTCCCTTAATCGCACCCTTTAGACTCGATTGTAAGCAAATAATTCAAGAAAAATAACTCCAAATTCTAGATCGAAAAATAGAGCCGAAATTTTTGAAAAAACATTCAAAAATTGGAAAACCCTATCCAATGGCCTCAAAGACAAAAACGAAACATACCATTGTAAAGCCCATGAAAAATCGAGTATGGTGATGCTCTCTCGACTCCAGACTGATGACGTCAGCAATGACATCAGTACTAGCTTGATGACGCCAGCCCTAGTGTGATGACATCAACCCTCGTTCATCAAGGCCTGTGTGCTCTTCAAATTTTTTTTTTAAGTATACTAGGATCGAATGCTCTGATACCATGTTAACATTGATCAAAAGGAATGGGAAGAAAAGAGAGAGAATGTATTATTCATGAAGACAAGTTTGTAATGCATAACATTACCTAGAAATACACAAAAGAACCCTTATATAGTAGGGCAAAGCAACACAATCATAAAGAAAAT